TGGTTCAAATTAGATGTGTGTGATGTCCAATTACAAAGTCTATAGTTTTTACGAATTAAGAACTCAAATTGCCGATATTCACAACATAGAATATAAAATACGAACCTCCTATCTTTTCTATTTGCTTTTTTATACCTAGCACCCATTTCTCCTAGTTTCTAGCCTCCCAGTGGCACAGCGGTATGTCTGCGGACTTACAACGCTAGAATCCGGGTTACGATACCCGTGGTGGGCAGAGCACAGATAGCCCATTGCGTAGCTTTGTGCTTAACTTCAAACAAACAAACAAACCTAGTTTATAAAACCCATTTCCTTTCCTGGGCCTTTTTAACAACAAAACTAGCTGTTCAGAGCCTTACATTTGTTCTTTTATTATTTATTTAATTACGCAATATCTTGTTCCAAGTACTAGCTCAACAGAAATTCGTCACGTGAAATTATTTCCTACTTACAATTACTACTAGGAAAAGGTGGTGTTTATTCAGCCTTAAAAGCAGCTGTTTGGCAAGTACATTATAATTGGTCATGTATACATGAATCATATCCGTTTCCTTGCAGGGTCTTATACTCGGAATTGTTACTATAATACACCAGAGCTTTAAAACAAAAGAAGAAGAAAAATTATTGTTGATAAGAATAAATAATTTGCATCGTTCTACTTGAAAAATACAATTTCAGGTTTTGGAATTGAACGAACTAAAATATATAACAAAATAAAAGTAGAATTCGCTATCTTTAAGTTACAGGATGTTATGGTGTGTATACGTTACTGTTAAAGATAAGTAGGGTTTTTTTTCTGTTTTTTTTTTTTTAAGGTCGTGTTAACGGATGTTGAGTGAAGTGATCCATTAATGTGTCTTTGAAGTCGTGCTAAACAGGATCTGAAAATTATATTCTACCAGCACCTTTGTGTGACACTGGCTATCTACAGAAAGTCATCCACTATCTCGATACTTTTTCTAAAACACTTGAAAAATACTCAAGGCTATCAGCGAAGTAATTGCCGTGATGAATTAAACGTTTTGCTAGTCCCAACTTATGGTTCAAGCAACCATTGACGTTTGTTTCTACCGGCATAGATCACTTCGTGTTATTACGTCATAATCGTTTGAGAGAAGTTTCAGTCTCGAATCGCAATCCCTCAACTACTTATTTTGCACATTGGATAACCGAGCTACTGTTGAGTTGTCATTAGCAGCCAACTGTAAAATGGGAGCCATTCTAGCTATACCCATTGCATTTTTTGCTTATCACTTGTTGACAACAGAGGACCTACCACCCCTGTACGGAGTCTACAGCTTACCAGATAGATACTTCTGGTTGAAGAAGGCAGTAGCTCTTCTCTACCTAAAAATGAGGAGATGTGTATATAGAAGGAGATTTGACCTGTACGACATGAGTGATTTGATGGACCTTGTAAAGACTGGATATATACCACCAGCAGAAGAGAAAATTTTGGAGGCACCACGACCAACACACCAGTTAACTACAACCTCGGATGAACTCTTTTTCTATGGAGTGAAGTCCACAGGAGAATGTCTGGTTGTAAAAATATCTAGATTACAACATAAGATAGCAGAAGTTATGGTGTTACTACGGACAAGTAAAGGTAACCATTACAGCTACCCAGAAGGGCCAGTATGTCAGGTCTTCACTGGAGATAGTGATGGCTTCAGTGGAGGAGGACTGAAAATAAAATGCATGAGTGCCATGAGAAAATGGAGGATTTCTTTTAATGGCCTTTTAAGAGAGACCTGTCAAAAGTCAGAAAAATCTAGATTGGTTCATGTAAAAATCAGTTTCATTTGGTCAGCAATATCCACTGTTCAAGATATGACCAGTGACATTAACCAGAGTCATTTAGCTGAGGCATTATCAAAAGAGTCATGGTGTAAGAATCTACCAGATATCAATAAATTAGAGAAAGCCCTAAATATGTATGAACAAGGAGGACAGCTGTTAGGCACTGTTACCATTGAAGGTTTAGAAGAAGAATATATCTTATGGGGTACACGAAGACGATGTTTAAGCGAATTTGTTGAATTTCATCGTAGTGCTGACTTCTTTGCTTTCACCAAAAATGGCAATATTTTTCATATTGGTGCTGTATCATTACCAGGAATTGTAACAAACCTTGTTTATGGACACTACATCCACTCGAATGGCATGATGTATACCACTGAGTCCTGTGACTTCATGCTTCCCCAAATGGGAGAAAATAAAAAAATACCTTCTTCCGCGAGATTTATTTTTATAGCGGGTGGAAAGACCTTTGAGTGTCTTGTGAATATGAAAGAACATTTGTGTAATTTTATCAGTGGCCACGTAGAGCAACACTTCAAATATTCCTCTGTTATTCTGAATGGAGATGTTGGTTGTGGGATTTGTGTATTTGCATATAAAACTTCCAAATATCCTGTGGTAGCTGTTCCTACTTCAATAAATATATTTCACAAAGATGAGTCAGAGAAGCTGAACTCACTAGTGGTAGACTTTGATCATCCTGATTGTCAAATGATAGATCTTGCTGGAGGAAAAGGTTCCTCTCTGGGTAAGTTAACTGCAATTTCTCATCAATTGCATTCTTTTCATGTCCCAAAAGGGGTTGTTATCACCACTTCAGCGTATAATGAATTTATAAGAAAGGGATGGTTACATGAAACAATGACTTCTTTACAGGAGGTGGCTTGGGGCCATGTTGAAGGTAATTTAAAGGATATTTGTGAACAGGTTGTGACAGCTGTCAGTAAAACCAGAATCCCCAAAGAAGTATCTGAAACAATACAGAATAAAATGCAGATGATCTTTGGAAGTGAGTTTCACAATCTTAGGTTTGCTGTGAGATCTTCAGCAATACGAGAGGATTCAGATGATATGTCAGCAGCTGGGCAGAATGAAACTTTTTTAGGAGTGAAAGGACTCCAAAATATTTTTGAAACTGTATCAAAATGCTGGGCCTCTCAGTTTTCATTTGTTGCTATCGAGTATAAACGATGTAACGGTCAATTGTTAAACTCTCCCATGGCAGTAGTCATCCAGGAAATGGTTCCTGCTGATGTTGCAGGGGTCATGTTTACTTGTGATCCAGTAACTGCTAACCCAGCTGTTATCACGATCACAGCTAACTATGGACTTGGAGAAACAGTTGTCTCTGCTGCAGTTGAACCAGACACTATCTTGTTGGATCGTGACTATACCAACAAGCTAACATACCAGTCTGTCAGTATCGGTAAGAAGAATATATGTGCTAAAGTAAACTCTGATGGTGAGATACAGCAGACAGCACCAACCAATGATCCTTCTCAACCTTGTTTGTCTGAGTCTCTAGCTTTAGCAATAGGGCAGACTGGTATCTTGATTGAGGAATATTTTGGTAGTCTCAGAGACATAGAATGGGCAGTAGTGAAAGAATTCATCTACATTCTTCAGGCTAGACCTGTGACATCAGCTGATGCAGAGACAGAATTTGAGATTATTCACCAATTTGATACACCTTTACATAGCGAAAATGAATTTCTCTGCAAAGTTAATTTTGGTGAGGTTATGCCAGGTGCTACTACCCCTCTGGGGCTCATAATGAATTATAACGTATTTGAGACAGTGGGTAAAAAGATATTTTTGGAACTTGGATTTCCATCTGAAAGATTTTCCCCTTACTCTTCCATGAACTTTTCCTGCAAGTTCAACCATGTATTTCACAACATGGTGAATGACCCATTTCTAGGTGGAGAAGGCAAGCTAAGTGCTGGTTATGAGATTGCCTTCTATGGGCGACATTTGAGAGATAAAGAATTAGCTGATCGAATTAAAGATCGATACATTATCATGGACATGTCTTTACCTGTCAAGTTAAAGCAACTTTCGTTCATGATCAAGAGTTTTTTACAAGCAAGCAAAAATCTTAAACAGGCACAGAAGACGTATGCAAATTATTTTATTCCATTAAACTGTGAAGAATCTGATACAATGTACAAAATTATTAGTAAAAATTTTGTTTATCTCCCATCAACCCCACTTGCTTGCCATGGTAGTTGTAGTATATCGTCCTTGCTGTGGAACTCAATGCTCTTAAACTTGTTGGCATCAGCAGAAAAGGAGTGGAATGCTAAAGTGTTTTCAGACTTTGGATACCTTTTATCAACTTGCACAAATGTTGAAAGTGCTGATGTTCCTGATTCTCTAGAGAAACTTGCTCTAGAAATTAGCAAAGAAATTGACAAGGAAGAGTTTAAAAATATGACAACAGAGTATGCAACAAGATTTCTAAAGGTCAGCCAGTCTTCAGCTGGACAGTCTTTCAGAAAATTTTTACATAAACATGGCCACAGAGGAGCAAAGGAGTTTGATGTTGGCTCTGTTCTTTGGGGAGTGAATCCAAGACCTGTTGTAAAAACTCTTCAGAGTCTTGTAGGATCAGTCTCTTATAATGTTAAAGAGAAAGTGGAAGTCACTGTAGAAGAAGCAATATCAAATCTTCAAGTTTCATTGTCTTGGTGGCAAAAGTTGTTGTTAAGGTTTCTATTACCACGAGTGAGAAAAGGAGTTCAACAGAGAGAATCATCTAAATCCCTTCTTATGAAGATGTATAACATCATACGTTGTGCATACTGTTATTTGTCAATACTGATGGTGAAAGAAGGGCGACTACCTGATGCAAGTCTGCTGTTCTTTTTGACTCATGAAGAAATTGGAGAATTGCTTCAGACAAGATCATCACGATTAATTACAAAAGCAGTTCGTCGAAAAAGGGTCCATCCACAGTTAGATGCTCTCTGTTTCCCTGAAATAAGTCGGGGAATAACAAAACCTGTGAATCAAACAAGCAGACAGGAACAAAATTCTTCCAGTGCTTACTTGTCAGGTACACCAGCCAGCAAAGGAATTGCTCGAGGACCAATTAGAATAGTGACTTCTTTAGAGCAAGCTGAAGAAATCCAAGCAGGAGATATTTTAGTAACCTACAGTACTGATATTGGATGGAGTCCATATTTTCCCTTATTGTCTGGAATTGCTACTGAGTTAGGAGGTTTGATTTCACATGGTGTTGTTGTTGCTCGAGAATATGGCATACCTTGTGTGGTGGGGCTTCATGGAGCTACAAGTTATTTCAAATCTGGGGAGATGGCTCAACTTGATGGAAATGTGGGAAGATTACAAATAATTATTAGTTAACCCCACTATCTTGAAACTAATCTTTCACTTAGTTACTTTAACATTTTTGGTAACAGCAGGAATTGAACTAAATTGCTAACATAGCCTTGTAAAAGCTAATTAAAAACTTTTGTAATTGTGAATCATTAAGAATTTAATATCAACCATGTTGACTCAAAAAAAATAATTTATTTCTGTATTTACTAAACTCAATTGTGAGTTAAAATGCAATAAAAAATGAAGAAACTTACAAATTAAATAAAGATATTTTTGTAGAATAATTTGTATTGAATATAAATTTTTTATCTTGTTGTGTGTAATGTTGTAAGTACATTGTTATTTTTAGTTCAAATGAAGTGTAAAAGTGATTTTTGTTAAAGGAATCACTACATGTTGATCAATTTTTAACAGTTTATATGATGTAGCAATGATTTTGTAAAAATATACTTACAGTGTGTTTATTGTTGGTTTTTAGTCATCTTTGTCAATTATAACGTTCTAAGAAAGTTAGTTGATTTTTTTTTACTTACATATATAAAGTTAATT